ATTCACAGCGCTCCAAAAGTGCAGGGAGGGAGTAGAAAGTGCAGGACTCCAGTGTCCCAGTGTGTGAGGAGCGTGGGGAGGGGGCAGATAGGAGGTGTGCAGGCCATTGGTGAAACCCCAGTTGGCCACATGAAATCTGGGGGTTGCTTACCCCTGAACTCCATACTTGAAGGGATCCTGTAGCATCAGTAAAGCCTTGCATTTCACGCTCTTATTTCACATTTCCTCTGTACTTTGCAAAAAAAATCCATTTTTTTTAATACCAAAACTGACACAGTAGCTCCATCTTTCAGCAAACATAGGAGGGACGGGTGCTGTAAAATCCAGGCATACATGCGGAGACCAGCATAGAGCCAGCTGTCAAACTGTATACATCTTTGAAACTGACAGCAGCAGCTGGCGACTCAAGGACTTCCCCGTCCTAAAGAGCTGCTCAAGAGTTGCCGTAGGGTGCGTTTCCTGCCAGATCTACCAGGAACATTTCTGAGCTATGCGCTCTCTGACAATCATAACCCTGGTTTGAATAAAGTCCAAGAGGAGTGTAGCCAAACACTTGTACAGAGACCCAGTGGAAACGGGCTTGACTGTGGATTCACAGGTCTCCCCTTCTACAGTTAACTCTGAATAAGCTGATCCAGGTGAACACAAAAACCCTCTAAAAATGCATGTGAGCTTTGAATGCATGATTTCGTACTGTCTGTCTGCCATTAGCACATTATGTCATGCCTGTGAAAGACCATCCCTGCCCCATGTTCACTGAGTATAAACAAGTAGATAGAGATGCATAAAATCATTGTTTTAAAGTAATTTGTATCACCCCTCTGCAGGCAAATCTTCTACCAAGCTCAAGTTAGTTGGCCAATTTCTCAAGACACACTTCAGCTATTACAGGAAAGCAGCATCACAGATTAGATCAGGCACAATGTTTAAATTGTTGTCTAGATTCTGCTCTCTCTGTGGCCAGGATGTTGTCATAGTCCCTGGGTTGAAGCATCCTGCAGTTAGGGCATGTCTACACAGCAGGGCTAAACTCAAAAGAAGTGACGCAACTTGAGCTACACTAATTGCGTAGCTTAAGTCGAAATAGCTCATTTCAACTTTTGGCACTCTCTACACAGCCGTTATTTTAAGATAGAGCACTCTTCTCCCCCCCCCCTCCTCTCCTTCCCTTCCAATGAGGGTTACAGGAGTTGGAATAAGCAATTCCCCAGCTAGACATTTCAACAATGTCAAAAAAACTGCTTGTGTGTAGACTTGGACTATATTATTTCAAAATAACATCCGTAATTACAAAATAACGCTGCTGTGTAGACATAGCCTTAGCGTGTTACACTACTAGAAAGAGCTTTCCCTGCCTAGCGCAATAGCCATTCAAAGCCATTCTTGGTCTGGAGGTAGTAACGTTCCTCTGAGCACGAAAGTGACAGATGCTTCCCCCCCCTCCATCCCCGATTCATATTTCTTCGGAGCATAGTCTGAATCTGCAAGCAAAATTAACGGGCTAGAAAGTCAGGTGTGGCTTGGGAGAGGGGAGGAAATCACTATTTCGTCTGAACCATACGTCTATTAGTGTGACATGTGACACCCAAGACAACAGGATAAAGGAAAAATTATTTTCAGCTCACGTTAGTCCCAGTGCTGACAAACGCACAATGAGTTCTCCTTGGTTGTGCAGATGAGAAAGGAGGAAGTGATCGTAAAACTGCAAGAACTGCATGGAGACTTGAGGAAAGGCACACGACCTGAAGCTATTTTAAAAGTGTCCATGTTATGATTAGGATCCACAATGAATCTTTCCATGAGGAAGGATCTGCATTTCTTTGCTATTGACTGGAAACTCCTTGGTCAACAACTGGGTCTTATCACAACTTGTGTAACTCGCAATGCGGGTGCCAAGCATAGACTCATAGGGTATGTCTACACTACCCTCCTAGTTCGAACTAGGAGGGTAATGTATGCATACCGCACTTGCTAATGAAGCCCGGGATTTGAATTTCCCGGGCTTCATTAGCATAAGCGGGGAGCC